TGCTTTTCCTTTACTATTGGCTCTGTTGATGTTTATCCTAGTCTCAGTTATTCTTTATTTTATTTTATTTTTTTTGAGACAGTCTTCTTGTATTTCCCTAGGCTAGAGTGAGTGCTGTGGTGTCAGCCTAGTTTACAGCAACCTCAAACTCCTGGGCTCAAGCAATCCTGCTGCTCAGCCTCCCGAGTAGCTGGGACTACAGGCATGTGCCCCATGCCGGCTAATATTTTATCGTATTAATGAGTATATTAGCCTCTTGCTGAATGGTTTCATCTTGCAACTAATATTTACTATCTCTCTTCTCTTATGCTATCAAGTACGAGATGGACGCGGCACTTGCTGATAGTCGCAGCTAATATATTTCACTCCTTAACCGGGCCCCGAGTGTCGCAGTTCTTCCCTGTCGACGTGATGCTTCTTTTTGTTGCTAAATCCCGAGTAGCTGGGACTACAGGCATGCGCCACCATGTCTGGCTAATTTATTCTATATATTTTTAGTTGGCCAATTAATTTCTTTCTATTTATAGTAGAGATGGGGTCTCGCTCTTGCTCAGGCTGGTTTCAAATACCTGACCTTGAGTAATCCTCTCGCCTCGGCCTCTCCGAGTGCTAGGATTACAGGCGTTACATTTGACAGTGGGACATGTGCTTGTCTGTGAGGAAAATATTATAGTTTAAAAATAAATTCATCAGGCCAGATGAGGTGACTCACACCTGTAATCTTAGCACTTTGGGAGGCGGGAGGATTACTTGAGGTCAGGAGTTAGAGACCAGCCTGAGCAAGAGCTAGACCCTGTCTTTACCAAAGATAGAAAAATTAACTGGGCATGGTGGTGCACACCTGTAGTCCCAGCTATTTGGAGGCTGTGGCAGGAGGATTGTTTGAGCCCAGGAGTTTGAGGTTGCTGTGAGCTAGGATAATGCCACTGCAATCTAGACTGGGCAATAGAGCAAGACCCCATCTCAAAAAAAGAAAGTCATCAAATATGCTTTATGAAGCTTAAAAAATAAATAATTATTTTCAGATCTACAGATTAACTCAGCTATAGATTAAGTCAATGGCATGGGTATTTTATTTTTCAAAGGGAAAAGTAATTTTACTGTTATGTATTTATCATGTGCAGATACTTCATTCAGGAAGAACTGCACCATAGAACACTATGTAATCTGTGGTGGTCATGAATGTGTCTTCATACATTCATATTAGTCTTAGGAAGACGTTACGAGCCATTGTCAGTAGAGGTCTATGACCCAAATTTTGTGACAGAGTTCCAGAGAGGGGTCTTAATAATGCCTTTGGGAAAGATGGAGAGGGTTCAGAATGGAAGAAGAGAGCTCAGAAAGGAATGAGGTGGTAACTCTTCCTCCGTGGTCTACAGAAATTACTTCTTGTTGCTGACCTCTGAGCAGCAGAAGTTTCTGGCTTTCCATGTCATTCACATGATTCCTTCGGGTAAGTGTTCTTACATGTAGATGTAGCTACTGCCCCATGACAGCTCTCTGGAGATGTTTGGCAGGGCCAGGATTCAGTGAAGCACTGAACTTAGCACCAACTCAGATTCTTGAGTGACATCAGCAAAATGGTCACTATCATCAAATACAAACAGCGCATAGACTGTAAACTCAGGTGTATAAGAAGTGTAACACTCTTTCTTTTCTATAGCTCCACTTAATTTCTGATTTAAATTACCCTTTTTGTGTGGGTGGCAGAGGGGGAAAGGGACAAAAATTAAATAGTAACTCAGTGCTGCAAGGGACCTGCTTCACTTACCTACACATCTGTGTTGTTTGCGATGCCGTGACGTGGGTATTTGGTACCAGCTGTTACAGTTTATGGTGATTAGGTATCGGAAAAATGTAACTTGTCCATTTCAGCAGTTCTCTCTCTGTAGCACGGGCTAGAATGAGTCCTGTGGTGTCATCCTAGCTCACAGCAACCTCAAACTCCTGGGCTCAAGCAATCCTACTGCCTCAGCTTCCCGAGTAGCTGGGACTACAGGCATGCACCACCGTGCCCAGCTAATTTTTTCTCTCTATATATATTAGTTGGCCAATTAATTTCTTTCTGTTTATAGTAGAGACGGGGTCTCACTCTTGCTCAGGCTGGTTTTGAACTCCTGACCTCGAGCAATCTGCCCACCTCAGCCTCCCACAGTGCTAGGATTACAGGCGAGAGCCACCGCGCCTGGCCATTTCAGCAGTTCTCTGTATGACTGTTCAGATGTTATAGAGATTCAGGTATCAGGTGTGGCCCATGATCTTTCATCTTGGTATTTTTTGTGATTATTTATCAGTGATACTTAGTGATTAATCCCTTAATTTTGAGCCTTATGGTAAGGAACTAGGGAGAGACAATGGAAAGGAGCTCACTGTCAAACAGCAGGGTGGAGAGCGAAACAAGTGCGTGGTTCTCATACACTGTTTTCATTTCCAGGTGTTGGGAAAGGATCACCCCGATGTTGCTAAGCAGTTAAATAACTTGGCCTTGCTGTGCCAGAACCAGGGCAAGTATGAGGAAGTGGAGTACTATTATCAAAGAGCCCTCGACATCTACCAGACGAAACTGGGGCCCGATGACCCTAATGTGGCCAAGACCAAAAATAACCTGGTACGTGACAGAGGCGCAGCACTGCTTTCTGGAATCCAGACATTCCGTAATTTAACCTGTTTGGTTAAATTAAAATGTGTGCTTTATTTATACATAAAGAATTAAATTATGTGCTTTATTTATACATAAAGGAAACTAAATATTTTATTTTATTTGAAGGCATCCTGCTATCTGAAACAAGGAAAATTCAAGCAAGCAGAAACACTATACAAAGAAATTCTCACTCGTGCACATGAAAGGGAATTTGGTTCTGTAGATGGTAAGAAATATACTCCTATTTCTAAGCAGATTTAATTATTTAATACTTTAAAAATAGTGATTTCCAACTGGAACTTGGTGATACCCAGGTTTTCACAATATATATTTTTAAATTTTTAATTGTTTAAAAAGGTTTTTGTAGTGATGAGGGCTTGCTGTCTTGCCCAGGCCAGTCTTGAACACCTGGCCTCAAGTGATCCTCACACCTTGGCCTCCTGAAGTGCTGGGATTATAGGCGTGAGCCACTGTGCTTGGCCATTCAATCTAGAATTTTACTTGAATTTTAGAAACAGTTTTTCAAATAGTGCTTAGAAGAGTGGACACGGCACAGGCTGAGCATTCATTCCTTGTCTTGCTCATTTGTCTGTTTATGGCTTAGTAAATGCTAGCACATGTCTCCGAAGTGCCATGCTCAGCGTCACCAGTGACTTAGGAGAGCACCCTGTGGGGAGGCTCTGGTCCCTCACATGGTTTCTTTCCCTGCTGCCTCTCTCTGGAGTCCGTGCTAAGTCCACTAATCCCACAAGCCTCCATGGGGTTTGTCAGTGTAGTCACCGTGTTGTCTGGGATTGTGCTGAGTCAGGGGTTCTCAAAGGGTGGCCCAGAGCCAGCGGCTGAGGAGCGCTGGGAGCCTGTCGGACATGCCTGCTGGGTGGTTTTGCTGTGTTAAGGAGCCAGGGCTGCATGTCGCAAGTGCCCCATCCACAGTCACAGAGTGACCAGCTGTTCTCCAGAGTTCAAATCACTCCATCATAAATATTTATGTTAATTTTTTTCTCCATCAGTTATTACATAAGGCATTTAGAATGAGGACATTTGTTGCTAGCGTGTAGGAAACCTCAGAATGTGGAGGGAAAAGTGTTCTGGTTAATTTATATTTACATATATATATATATACACACACATACACATGTATATATATACACATACATACATATATACCAGTGGTCCCCAACCTTTTTGGCACTAGGGGCCTATTTTCATGAAAGACAATTTTTCCATGGACCAGGGAGAGAGAGATGGTGTGGGGATGATTCAAGTACATTACATTTATTGTGCACTTTATTTCTATTATTATTGCATTGTTATATATAGTGAAATAATTATACAACTCACCACAGCTTATATACAACACACATATATACATACACATAATATACACACACATGCATATGTATATACACATATATATGTATACACACATATACAAATACTCACATATACATACAAATATACACATATACACACATGTATACACACATATACACCATATATTTTGTCCATTGAGATGTTTTATTAGTATGAGTATATTATATCCCTAGAAAGATAATCCCAGGGCCAGGCTTGGTAACTTATGCCGGTAATCCCAGCATTTGGAGTGTCCAAGGTGGGAGGATCGCTTGGGCCCAGGTATTTGAGATTAGCCTGAGTAACACGGGGAGACCTGATCTCTACAAGAATAAAAGAATCCCAGGATTTTCCTTCCTGTGTGTTTCTTCTTGGCTCTTTGTGGTTTGAGATGCCAGGTAAGGTTGTCAGTACAGTGAAGCCAAACAGATAAGACGGGAGCAAATTAGTCTGCTCCCTGGAAAGAGGGTTAATTTTTTCCTTTATAGAGCGTTTCTAGAAACCACTTCTGAAAAATCTTTCAAAAATGTATTTTTTTCCTCTCTTAACAGTGGAGCAGTAAATACCTTTTACTATCAGAATTTGGTCGTGGGTTGTGTCTCGGGTTCTGTGTGCAGGGTACAGAATAGCTCGCCTGCAGGCTTGCCCTGGGCAGGGGCTTTCTGGTTTGTAGGGACTCTAGGCCATCTCCTTCATGCTGCTTCTCAAAACTTCTGTTAGGGAGAAAGGCTCTTTCCTTTCCGTCTGGCGGCAGCCGTCAGGTAAGCCAAGATGGGTGCATACAAGTATATCCAGGAGCTGTGGAGGAAGCAGCAGTCTGATGTCATGTGCTTTCTTCTGAGGGTCGCTGCTGGCAATACCGGCAGCTCTCTGCGCTCCACTGGGCTCCCTGCCCCACCCCACCAGATAAAGCACGCAGACTGGGATACAAGGCCAAGCAAGGTTATGTCATAGGTAGGATTCGTGTGCGCTGTGGTGGCCGCAAACGCCTGGTTCCTAAGGGTGCAACCTATGGCAGGCCTGTCCATCATGGTGTTAACCAGCTAAAGTTTCCTCGAAGCCTTCAGTCTGTTGCCAAGGAGCGAGCTGGACGCCACTGCGGGGCTCTAAGAGTCCTGAATTCTTACTGGGTTGGTGAAGATTCCACATACAGATTTTTTTGAGGTTTTCCTCATTGATCCATTCCATAAAGCTGATCAGAAGAAATCCTGATACCCAGTGTATCACGAAACCGGTCCACAAGCACAGGGAGATGCATGGGCTGACATCTGCAGGCTGCGAGAGCCGTGGCCTTGGAAAGGGCCATAAGTTCCACCGCACTATTGGTGGTTCTCACCGTGCAGCTTGGAGAAGGCGCAATACTCTCCAGCTCCACCGTTACTGCTAATAAGTAATGTTTATAAAATTCATACCTAATAATTTAGGACCATCAAAAAAAACCAAAACCTTCTATTAGGGTGGACTTGTTTCCTTGTGATTTGCTAAAAAATAGTGGCACAAAGTACAGTTAATTGGGTTATAGTTAAAAGCAGCTTTTTTTTTTTTTTTTTTGAGACAGAGTCTCGCTTGTTGCCCAGGCTAGAGTGAGTGCGTGGCGTCTAGCTCACAGCAACCTCAAACTCCTGGGCTCGAGTGATCCTTCTGCCTCAGCCTCCCGGGTAGCTGGGACTACAGGCATGCGCCACCATGCCCGGCTAATTTTTTATATATATATATCAGTTGCCAATTAATTTCTTTCTATTTAAGTAGAGACGGGGTCCGCTCTTGCTCAGGCTGGTTTTGAACTCCTGACCTTGAGCAATCCGCCGCCTCGGCCTCCAAGAGCTAGGATTACAGCGTGACCACAGCGCCCGGCCAAAACAGCTTTTTATACTCAGATTTTGCTCCATGAAATAGGGCAGGAGGCATTTTTCCTTAGGTCAGATGCAAATGTGTCTTGTGGTTCATTCCTGACCTTCAGCGTCACATTGGCTTTCTGGTGCTCAGAGCGTATGTACTCGAATCAATGACCTGGTTTGTCATTAGGACATCAAGCTATGTTAACTGTGAATATACATTGCATCCTAGCACTGGAATCTGTTTTAGTAGAAAGTTAAACTGCACTAAATAACAGGGCTAATAAGTCTCAAATATGTTCACCTATGTATTTTTACATTTTAGAGATAGGGTCTCACTCTGTACCCAAGCTGAGTGCAGTGGGACGATCAAAGCTCATTACAGCCTTGAGCTCCTAGGCTCAAGTGATCCTCACCTAGTTATTCATGCCTTCTGAGTAGCTAGGCTACAGGTGCCCGCCATTAGCCTGGTTAATTTTTAAAATTTTTTTCTGTAGAGACAAAGATCTCACTATGTTTCCAGGCTGGTCTTCAACTCCTGGCCTCAGAGATCCTCTGTGTAAGACAATCTCACCTGGCCTAAATAATATTCACTCTTTTCAAACCAGTATTTAAACTTTTGTAGTTCGGCAGGTGGCTCATGCCTGTAATCCTAGCACTCTGGGAGGCCGAGGCGGGTGGATCAGGAGTTTGAAACCAGCCTGAGCAAGAGCTGAGACCTCGTCTCTACCATAAATAGAAAGAAATTAATTGGCCAACTGATAAATATAGAAAAAATGAGCAGGCATGGTGGCACATGCCTGTAGTCTCAGCTACTCGGGAGGCTGAGTTAGCAGGATCGCTTGAGCCCAGGAGTTTGAGGTTGCTGTGAGCTAGGCTGACGCATGGCACTCACTCTAGCCCTGGACAACAAAGGAGATCTGTCTCAAAAAAACTTTTGTAGTTTCATTCATGTCTAATGACATGACCGGTAATAATAATCATACTTAATGTTTACTAAGCTCTTGACCATGTATCATTCACTAAGCTAAGCAGTTTAACACATTAAGTGCCATGTGAGTTGTATTTAATTCATGCTAGTTTTGAGCCAGGCCTTGTGAAGCATATGTGACTCACATGTCTCTTTACCTATAGCTGTGTGAATTATTTTTCAAGTTGCATATAACTCAAGCACAGAAAACAATAAAAATAATTTTTCATTAAATTAGAAAGGATCACTTTTTTTCAAAGTTTTTATTCTAATTTTGTAACAAAACCCGTGGCCCAAGGAAAAAAATTTTTCTATTGTGGCAGTCAGTGTGTTAAATGTGTGATCTCACTTAACTTTCACAGCAGTTCTATGACGTAGGTCAAACATGGCCCATTTTAGAAGCAAAGACACCACAAACGTATGTAATGAGTGACGTGTCTGTGGTTGGTGGCTGAGAAGTAGACTGGTATTGGTGTGGGTCTCTGTCCATAGCCCGTAATACACCCTCATTGCAGGAAACCTAGAAAATTCACACAGAGACAATATGAAACTCACCTGAATCCATCTTTTAACATTTTAAAATCTTTTGCTTGCTTCTGTATCTATTGTTTACATATTGAAACCAACTCTACACATACACGTATACTGCTATTTCTTTACATTTTTAACACAGTACTTTTCATGTCATAAAATATTTTTATAAACATCCTTTTTAAGACTGCTTTTTCCCATGGCATGGGTACTTTGGTTGTCTAGAAACTTGGTTGAGGGGCATGTGGGAGTATTCTGGGAATTTTTAAAAACTTCAAAGGAATATGGATTGTATCTTTTCGCCTTTTGCCCCACACATATTATTGCTTTTTCTTAGACTTTTGTTTAAGCTAGGTTGCTCAAATCCTAAATACTTGCAGGTGTTATTTGAGGATGCTTTTAAAGATGTACATTATAGGTCTAAGCACTGGCCAGGGGTTGCTTCCCTGTCCAGAGGCCTTTGGCTCTGCACCCGGTGTCTGGGGCGAGCGGCGGATGGCTGCCGTCTCCTGTCCCTGGTGTCCGGTCTGTCTTCCG